CATATACTTAGTATTATTTACTCAAAATGTCTTGTTATGGAGGGGATGATAATAAATAAGTAGAAATATTTTGAATATAATAGTAAAATTAAGGAAGGTCTTCATACACTTTGAAGGCTTCCAAGTGTGACTTAGATGAACTGAATCAGCATTTTTATGCAGAATAAAAACCTTATAATTTAAAACAAATTAAAACTTTTTAAAAATAAAATGGAAAAAAAAACCTTAATTTGTATTATGTAACGAATTTATATTAATTTTTGTGTGGGATTACCGCTAATAGAAAAAAAATTGGTTTCAACATTTGACCTATAAACCTTAGTAATCTCACTTTAAAGAATATTAAAGATACGTTGCTACTATTTTAAATTCTGTGTATGTTAAATTTTATTTAACCATAATAATAAAAATTTACAAATTTTCATCGTAAGATTACAGAAATTGGTAAGGTGTCACTTATATAGTTACAAACTAGTCAATGGAGTGACACATAAAAAACATAAAGTTCTCAACAACAAAAAAGGAAGAAATGCAAATGAAATATAAATGAGGAGAATAAAAAAAGAAAAAAAAAGTCAACCAAAACTATATAAATTAAAAGAAAAAGAAAAACAATGATAATAATTATTCTTGCTCTTTTATTAATATTATGAATACTTCTAAATGGAATTTATATATTAAACATATAAACTTGTATTCTGGTTTCTTCTTATGATATGAAGACTTTTAAATTTTATTTAAAATAAATTAAAGATTAAAGCTTTGATTACTTTGAGCTCTTATATTTATCATCAAAATTTATTTAAATTAAATAAACAATTTAAATCAAATAAATATCAGCCTGCTCAGTCCCTCTTTATTTATAAATATAAAGTAAATAATAATATAATTATAAATAAAATATTTATAAAGTATTCTATTTATTATTTTATTTAAAGCTCACTCTACTGAGTTGTTAGATTACTATAGAAGTTTTTGCCACAGATAGTTAATATTTGATTTCAGATACTGATGCAGATTTATCCATTACAGAGACAGAAGAAGAATGAATACTATAATTTCAGAGTGTAAAAAATTAAAAGAAGCTTAAGAAAATGTTATGTAGTGTTAAATTAAAAATAATAAAAAAAAACAACAACAACTTAAAAGTGTGTAAAAAATAAGTTAGAGAGAAATCTATCAATTGTACTTTTTTTTAGCTGCAGGTTCACAACAGTTGTAGTGGAATACAAAATGGTCTTAACTTAGGGTTTTTTTTTAGTTTAGAAACTGTTCGTTTAATGAATACAGAGAAATAAAAAAAAGATCTTGAAATAAATAGCAATAAAAAGATAGAGTGTGTTTGTACGATTTTTTATGTTGTAGATACAACTAGATCAGCTAAGAGTGTTTATTTAGAGAAAGAGTGTTCAAGTGTAAAAGATTAATTTACTTGAGTAATATTCAGAGATTTTTATCCACTCTTAAAAAAAGGTGCATTAAAAATAAAAATAAAATATACAGCACATGAAAAGATGCGTAACAGTAATTTATGGGGAATAAAATTTGAGGATGTTCAGCTAGCACACTATAATTAGATAGATCAAACAAGATGATTAAATAGAGGATTAAAAATTAGATGATTAGATAGAGGATTAAAGAGAAACGATGTTTACATAGAAGAACAGTATGGCTATAAAAGATCAAAAAAATAGCAATAATCTTAGAAGAATATTGGGAATAGTTGGAAATATATGTGAGTTACTGATATTGTGCACTATATAACATTAATATGGTTTGCACACAGAAAAAGTAGAATTAGAAGTAGGAAAATTTGGGGAGAATATTTTAAAAAAGCTTAAGTTAAAAAAAAAACACTAGGTGCGGTAAAGTATCAGAAACGACATAATGAGAAACTTTCAAACAGGGGCGCTGAGAGCTTTTGCCCTGCCTGGGGCAGCAACCCTGACTTGTGTCCTCATTTTTATACATTTTTTCTATATTATTAGTCAAGGATCTTAGTTTTGGAACCTTTTTTGTTTTACACCCCTGCTGATCTGAATGCTGATTAAATTTTAAGCATATATAGTGCCGAAGCTTCGGCTTCGGCCGAAGCTTCGGCTTTGGCAAAGTGGCTTCGGCCGAAGCTTCGGCTTCAGCAAAATTTTAGCTTCGGTACATCCCTAGTAATTAAATTGAAAAACAAAAATGAGTTGCAACAGGAAATGTGACAAACAGACATTTTAACCGGTATTCAAACCATTAATATTAAAGACCTGGATTTTACCAAAAAAAAAAATTCAAGGTTGTTTATTTTATAGCAAAAAAAAAGAACACTTTTATTCCATATCAAAAAATGATTCAATTAGATGAGAAACATCAATATATATATGGTGTAATCTTTGATCAAGCTTATAAAAAAAATGTTTGCGGATTATATATTTAAAAGTAAAATTAAAAGTACTATTTATTTATATCATTTTTTTGTTTTTTTGTTTTGTTTTGGGTGATTCAAAATAATGTGCTAAAAAGGCGAAATATGGAAAATATTAAATATAAATATAAAATATGGAAAAGTGGAACGATATAAATCTTTCCACTTTAAACTTTGAGATTTGAAAGCAAAATATAAAAAATTAATATTGTATTTTATTAAAAGATTATTCTCAAGTATTGTTTTTTATTTTATTTTTTTATTTAGGGTTTTTATGTGTCACGGCTGTTTCACTCAATATAAAAGCGAACTTGACGTCACAGTTATTTTTGTGTTAATTAAAATGAAAAATATTTCCGCAAAAAAAGTTTAAAAATGCACTAACTTTAAAATAATAGTGTTTTTTTCCTATAAGCACCTTTATCTTCAAATAAAAAAATTATAAAAAACCTATCTTCTTTTTTTAAATAAATATTTACATTAGATGAAATAAAAATATTAATGTTTAAATATTGCTAACGATTTAAGATCGCATTTCTGTTTTTTGTGATTTTTACGGAAAACCTGTCTTGGGTCAACTAAGATTTTATAACATAGCTACATGCCTCATGGTTGAATTTTGGAACATTTATAAATAAATGTCTATTCTATCTAATTTTTGGTGCGGATTGCTTATTTTTTATTTTTTAACTATTTTTTACTGCATTTATATTTTTAATTTTATTATTTAATAATGAAAATTGTATTATTTTTGTAATCCGCACCATATTATTGAAATTTCAACCCTTTCTGCATATAAAAATCAAACAATTGTTTGCTGTACCTCTAGCTATGTTATGAAATATGTTTTCAAAAACTTTAACTCAGTTTTGGTCATAAATTATTTTATTAGAGTCTTTATTTATTAACAACCTAACACCATATTATTAAAACTGTATGCATAGAAAAAAATTGCTAAAGTTTTTTAAAGGCTTTAACTTAAAATGTTAAGACTAAATAATTCAAAATCGAAATCTGACTTTATTTTTTAATGCATTGAATTTATCAACTAAGTGAATTATTTTCTAAAACAAGAACTTCTAGATTTAAAAATGTGCTCATTTAACAGCTAATCCCCCTTTTAACAACATTTTTCATAATTTTGCAAAAAATGCGGTTTGCTTGCAGACTTCAATAAAGACTGTTTCAGTTAACCTTTAACAATTAAGTAAGATTTTTTTTATTTTAATAAAAGTTAAACAATGAGTGTATTTGATAATAACTATCAGAAATATATTTTTCTGATTTTTTTTTTTGATAAAAAGTAACAACAAATTACTAAAATTTAACCAAGTTCATCATTTGTCGCGCTTTTTATAAACTAAAAGTTTCTTTACTATTGTATTAAATGTCGTATGATTAAACATTTTATTTTTGTTTTTATTCTTTTTACAAAACAAAATTATCTCTAATATTTCAAAAGTTATAAATGTTTTAGAACACCCCCTAAATCAAAATTTTCAAAAAAAAAACAAGAAGCCGTAAAGCTCACTCTGAAACAGCCGTGGTGTATTATTAGGATTTATTACAATATGATCCTCATAATTAATTGCACAAACACAAAAAAGTATACCGCACAGTGTTACAAAAATTAGGTAAAAGTTAAAAGAATTAAATTTGATTGTTTGGAAAATAATATGATTGACTACTTTTCAATATTTCTCATTTCAGCTGATCAGTTGTTGTTATGACAACATTTAAGTTGTTATTTCATTTCAGCTGATCAGTTGTTGTTATGACAATATTTAAATTGTTATTTCCGAAGCTCTTTTATTCTTCTAATTGATTACTTTTTCAAATATTTTTTATCTTGTTATTTTGATAATTACCCAATGTTTACAAAGTAAATTTAGTTGGATCAATTGTTAATCCTGAGCCTCTGTGTTTTTATTATATTGATTTCTAGCATCTCATTAGTTGCTTGCATCTTTTTTGAGATAGAACTCATTAAAAAAAAAAAATCATAAATTTACTATCACTAACACTTGTTCTAAAATTACGTTTTAAATCCTCGAGAGATAATGTCTTCTGACTAGAAGATGTACTAAACTTGAACTAACATGGCTAAATATCAAAAAATGTTGGGTTTTTTTTTTATTAATTCAAATTTTAGAATGAAATTGATTTAAAAACCTGTTTCATTGACCTAATAACAATGCAAAATAGATAGTTACTGCTTGACTTGCTGAAATTTTTTCAACTCGTTTTGTTAATACTTGGAATGCTCTGTTCTTTGAGGAGCTTGTCAAATGCAGATATACCAGCTAATAATGAACTTATATTTTGCATCTGCTTTGTTTAAATATTACTATTTAATATTTTAATTATATTTCTATGTATATGTAATGTTGTTTTTTACAAAATGGTTCAAAATGGTTGAATGTGTGAAGATCTGGTTTTTATAGTTTTTAAATTTTTTTGTTTTTGTTTTTTACAATTTTTTTTATATATAACAACTATTATTAGTTGTTAAAAATATCATATTCATATAACCATATATTTTAGGATATATTGAAAAATATCATATTCATATAATCATATATTTTAGGATATATTGAAAAAATGGAAGTCTTTTCAACATGCTCTTCAACTCTTCAAAACAGTTTTAATATGTTGTGTAATTCGACAGAAGATATTAAATGGTTTGAAGAAATTGAGCCTATGAAAATGTTCAAGATTCTAGAAAAACAATTTTATCCATTCAAAGAAGTAATATAATTTATATATGATTATATAAAGTTTGTATGATTTTTGTATTAGTTTTGACAAAGTATTCTATATTTTACAAATGCGCATAAATTTATATAGCAAATTTGTTGGAAACAAATAAATGATGTATTTATTTGTTAGTTATACAAAGTTTTATCTAACTTAACTGAATAACTTAACAAACAATAATTTAACTGCATAACTATGTATCTACATAAGTATGTCGAAATTTGTACTAAGTCTATTTACAATTATGTATTTATCTCAAATTCTTTTTTATTTAAAAAAAAAAAAGAATTAAAAAAAAAATTAAGTTTAAAAATTTAAATTTATCTTAAAGATTTTGATAAATGTTATGTAATCAAATTTTAAAAAAATTTACAAAATAATTATCACAACATTCAAAACATCTGAATCGATAAGATGTTACTTTTTTTTCTAATCGTTTTTTTAGCTAGAATATTAGATAAATGGAGGAAGTTTGAATGAAAAGAATTTATCAGCAACTGCATCCCTAAAATAATTATGATATTTAAAATATTTTTTTGGCATAAATTGTTTGTTCCTGGATAAACTATTTGTTTTTTTTTGTTTTTTTTAATGTATCTAATTTATCATATGCTAAATTTTATCTTTTAAATTTTTTTTTTTAATTTTACTCCGTTCCTCCATTTTTATATAAGTAATTATTTGGTAATTATTTTTTATATTTTTTATTTTGGTAGCGTACTTATGTTTTCAATATTAAGTAAATACTAAATCTCTTTCAGATGGCAGTTCTTCTTGCATTAACTTCATATTATCATGCATCAGGATTTTTTTTACAAGTTGCTTCTCTTGCCAATTGTAAATGACCAAAAATATTTATTTCCTTTACTGAAGTAATTACTTTACTTGCTATTATAGAGAAAAATAATAAAAAATAACGAACTTCTGCAAAGAGTTCATTATTTTTTTTTATTTTTGATTCAACAATTTCAAAATGTTGAGTGCATCTTTTTATATAATCCTGCATTCTTTAAACTTGGTCTACTTTTTTGCTTTGCAAATTACACCATACACCTCATTACATTGAGGTGTAAGGTGTACCTATACCTCATTATTTTAGCATGTTTCAACTAAATAAAGCAACAGCAAATTTTAACTAAATAAGATTAACTACCAGTGGTTGTGGATCAGTAGTTTTCAACATTATTTAATACTAATTACATATTAACTCAAAGTTAGTAATACAAATTAAAAATTTGTATTTTGATATATATTAAATTATTGCTAAAATATACTTATTTGAATATTTAATATTTTCTAAATTTTACAAATTTTACTAATTTTATTACTATTGGTTGAAAAAAATGAAATTTATTACTATTGGTTGAAAAATATAAAATTTATTACTATTGTTTGAAAAAGATGAAATATGATTTTATTGTTAACTACTCAAAAACAGATTTTTTGACACATTGAAGCTAATTGAACTATTTATTTCAATAATTTTTTACATATTTTTTAATGGACGCTTAAATAGAAACTTACTATTTTTACTTACTTGATTGTAGTGTTGTTACAATCTTTAAATAATTGGACCGTAGACTAAATTGGCTAAAATCAACCTTTATATTTTTGAAATCAAATAAATTGACTAAAAATTGGTTAAGTCAGAATGTAGGCATAAATTTTTTTTTTCAAGACAAATTGTAAGAAAAATAAAAAGGTAATTTACATTTGCTTTCTATTTTCTAACGTTAAAACAAAATGAGATTTTCCAAAGTTCGCTAATTTCGACTTTCGAATACTTTTAATCTATTTAGTTAAAGTCAATAACAACTACACACTAAACACTACTTGTTTAAGTACCTGACATTAATCTAGTTTTGAGTTTTTATTTTTTATCCTAAAATCTTTTTTAAAGGAAGTTATTTTCTTGCTTTTTAATAAGATTCTTTATAATTGACCGATAACTTTCAATAACTTGCTGCTCAGGACTTGCTTCCTTAGTTAAAAATTTGGCTTTATTTGTCTCATACCATTCTAGATACTTTTTGTAGTAGTGAACTATATCCAAATCAGTAGTGGATTGTAGCTAAAATTTTGCTAATTGTGCTTTTTTTTATAAATAGCCAAAGGCGTTCAAAGTTTTACAAGTAATATATGGTGTACTTTTCAAACCAAAGGAGCAAATTTCTTTCCATATAAGGAATCTTACCATATAAGGAGCAAATTTCTCAATTTGAATATAATTGTACTTTTGGCAACATATCTACCTTTTGGCTGATAAAATATTGCAGGTCTGGCAGTTGTGAAAAATTTATTTTGCAATAGGTTTCATTGTCTTCAATTATAAACAAGAGTCTCTGTTTAAAAGTTTACATAGATAAATTTCTTTATTTTTTCATCAATAGATTGCTTCAGACTAAAAAAAATAGTAAAAAAAGTAGTTCATAAATTAATTAGGATGTCGAGTTTCATTATAGTATAGCGATACACTATAATAGTATATACAATATACTATAATATAGTATATGCGATTTTTTTTGGGTCAAAAAAATCCCATATACTTTAAAGACTTATTATAAATTATATATTTAAAGACTTGTATATATTTAAAGACTTTTTCTAAATTATATATTAATTCTATATTACAAAAAATTCTGATTAAAATGGAGAAGGCAAACTTTGTCCAAAACTACAAAGTTTTTTTTTTCTTGGTTATTTTATTTTAATCTACATTATTTTGTTTTAATCCAAAAAACTCAGTTTAAACATTTTTTTTTTAATTCTTTTTAACATAAACAAAACTTTAATCAGAACTTAGGTATCTGTTTAACAAACAAAATTGTTGATTAACAAAATTGTTAAAGATTGGTTTCATGTAATGTTACATGCAACTCTTATGAAACTAATTTTTTAAAGATGTTATTATTGTTAGTTTAACATTTTTCCATAGTTTCTTGGGTAAAAGAATTATGTTTATTTTGTTTTCATTTCACATTATTGAAGAGTTAGGCCTGATTTTTACAGCCAGCTTTATGCATATGGTATCTTCTGGTAGACCTGGGGATTGGTTGAGTTAAGTTTTAGTTTATTTTTCTTTTTAGGTTCCTTACTTTTCATTTAATGAAACTTTTAAAATAGCTGAAAATGAAAAAAAGTTTATTCATCTTATTTTACTTTGGGGATCTCTTGACGATCAGTCATGCTGAGGTTAGCATTTTTTTTTTTTACATATAAACTAAGTGTAACTATGAATTCATTTTTTTAAACTAACAAACAATATCTATGTCATATTTTTTAATCATTCACTTTAAATCTTAAAAAGAACTTTTTTTTTAAGGTTCAGGGCGGACTCTTAGGGAGAGTGCCTTAGAGAGTCCGCCCGTTATGCAACTTCTATCTGAACGATTTGTTAGTTGCTGGTCCCTTGTAGCTGATATGGAGGTAATGATTAATAATTAATATTATTTTAGAAAATCTTTTTATTTTTATGTTTGTTTTTTTTGTGTATATTGTATGTATGTATGTATGTATGTATGTATGTATGTATGTATGTATGTATGTATGTATGTATGTATGTATGTATGTATATACTGAATACACATCAAGGCTAAAGGATCACTACATTTGAGGAGGTTTGTCTTTTCTTTTTTTTTAATATATGGCTTCTAACTTTGTTTTACTTTGGTTAGTTGACTTTAGTTGCTTAAAAGTAATTGAAGTTGTTAAATTCATTGTAGTTTTATTCCACATTTGTTTGCTAATTGCAAATAAATCCAAAACTTATATTGAATATAAGTTTTAGGTTTATTTATTAAATCATGCATGTCTCTAAATGACTTTGCCATTAATCATTTCTAACTGTGCAAATATTTGCACAAATAGAACTTACACAATTATAACTAGAGGCTTTGAAATATCCTTTAACTTTTGTGCATTCATACTAAGGTGGGAGAGTCACTAAACCTTTATTTAACTTAACTCTATGAAACATTAAGTACGAGAATTTATTGACTAGTGATGATAAACTTGGTACATCATTGTAAACTTTATTTTCAATCTTTTTTTCTACTTCAATAGACAATTTGCTGTTAGTTTTGAAATAACAGTTAGGCATGTCATATTGAAATATGGTAGCTGCATCTTGTTTTTTTTTTTTATTAGAAGCATTTTTGTATATATATGTATATATATATATATATATATATATATATATATATATATATATATATATATATATATATATATATATATATATATATATATATATATATATATATATATATATATATATATATATATATATATATATATATATATATATATACGTTTATTTTAAAGGTGTAACCAATTCAGGTGTAACATTAATTTAAAAAAATGTTATAAGAGTTAAACAAAATAATTATATGCCACTACGCTTGCGAGTAAATACTTTATTTATTTTTTCTAGCCAATGAAATCTTTGTATATTAAAAATTAAACATGATAAATAGAAAACTTTATACAAAATTACTTAGAATCAAATAACTTGTTAATGAACCTTAATAAAGTGGAAAACAAGTGGATAACTTTTGGAATTGCACAAAAAATTACAAATGTGAATCAACTTGGACTGTTTTACAAAATCTAAAAATTACTTTTCTATGTTAATTATTTTAAATATATACTTAAATCTTAAATCTAATTTTCATATTTTATACGAAAAAGCACTTTTAAAAATTCGATTAATGCATCAGCTAATTCAATATCTTACCACTAAAGCCATGTTATTAGTTTACAAAAACTTTTTGGTTCCTTTGTTAATGTATTGTCTAACTGCACTTATGACCTACCCTTAATTAATTCAGGACTTCAATCATACCACTGACTCCAATACAATCCCTTATTAAAAAGTATGTATTCTTGTCCATTAATACTGGATAAAAAAGTATTGCTCAAAATACATTATTTTGTTCATATCAATCATTCAAAGTCAACTAGATTAAGTAATAAAATAACACAACTAGATTAAACAACATTAACACTAAAGTGAGACTAAATTAAGGTCAAAATGAATTCTTTTACACAAAAGCCAAACTTTTTGACAGATTACCAATGTATTTAAAAATAAAGGATAATGCAGAAGATTTAAAGAATTAAAGGCTGTTAATTACATTTATTTATTGTTTTCAAAAGTGTTATATATCTAGATTGATCTTTAACATTTTTATTTATCAATAAATTGACATTTTGTTTGTATTTGTTTTATAAACAATATATTAATCTATCTTTAGGATTGTCCATAAATTACACAATGGTAAACTTATTTAATAAACAGATGTAGGAAATCTTAAGCACTTTTACGCGGCAATTTTCATTTAACTTGATAAGCTATTTTAATTCTTAATTTAAGTTAAGGCTCCGCGAGGTAAAACCTTTTATCTTTTTTGTTTTGTTTATTAGTGACGTTAGCGTTTCGTACTTGGGCATTTTCTTTATGCAAAATTTTTAACCTTATCTTTATAGCTGTTTTAAACATTTTTTGCTTTTATTTTAGTAATTACAATTATTATATCACAGGAAGGAAAACAGTTTTATATATATATATATATATATATATATATATATATATATATATATATATATATATATATATATATATATATATATATATATATATATATATATATATATATATATATATATATATATATATATATATATATACACAGACAGAGTCAGAGAAGTAAAACATTTTATTAAAAAAAAAAAACTTTGTCCGGGTATTTCAGAAAAAATAGAGTTTTTAATAAATAATTTTCTGATTATTCTGAAATTTTAAATTGCAAAAAATGTTGTTTTGTAGACAAAGTTTTGTATGTGAATATTAAAAAGAGTTTTTTAATCAATAGTTTTCAAAAATATTATCATTTAATATCAATTAACTTTTAATAATAAACTGATATTTTTCAAATTCATTTGATTTACCATTGATATCATCAAGTATGGTAGTTAAAATCTGTAAAAAAAGTACAAAACATTTGAATATGTAAAAAATCAGTCAAGATCTGGAGTTAAGCATAAAATGACATCCAGAATCGATCAACAAATTATCAAGATAATGCATAAAAACCAGTTTTTATCAGCACCAAAAGCATCAAGCATTTTAAAAAAAAAATATGGATACAAGTCCATGTACTATTCAAAATCGATTGAAAGAGGATGAATCTAAAGCAAGAGTTCCACACAAGAAACCATTCCTTTTGAAAACCCATCGAAACCGAAGTCTACAGTCAAGAAAGCTTTTGCGGTTACAACCCTTTCTCAATTCTATAACTCCGAAACACAAACCTCAATGAGCAAGACTGCTGTGCAGAGAAACAAGTTGAATTTGCTAAAAGAATATATAAATATCGTTCTGGAAGAAGGTTTTGTGGACTTACAAGTCAAAATTTAATCTTATGTAGTTGGAGAAAGCTCAAAAAGTATGGAGAAAAAAAGGTGAAGCATTCGCACTCAGTTTTATTCAAGGAACGGTAAAGTTTGGTGGATGCAATGAATTGGAAGGGAACCGGAAAGCTGGAGTTTATTAATGGAGTTATGGACTTTGAGGTTTATGTTAATATTCTCAATAAAAATCTTCTGGCCTTAACTAAAAAAATGAGGTTGGGAAAACATTTTATTTTCCAACAAGACAACGACCCTAAGCATATGTCAAAGAAAGCAAAAGAGTTTTTTTATCCAAAAACAGATTGAGTTACTTGAATGGCCGGCTCAAAGTCCAGATCTCAATCTAATTGAACACCTATGGGTTATTCTGGATCAAAAAAGTGGGACACAATGTCTAAAGAGAAATGAAGAGCTAAAGATTATGCTCCAAGAAGCTTGGGCTCCAATTGATCCATAAAGAAATTATTATGCAAAATTGACTTGCAGAAGTCATAAAAGCTAAAGGCAGTCCAACTAGATAATAAAATTAAAAAAATATTAATTACTCTGAGAAAAGTTTAATCTTTACAATTTTGTTTAGATTTAATTTTTTAAACTATTTAATTTTGAAAAATTGCATAGTTTGAATATATAAAGTTTTTAGCAATTTAAGTTAATTGTTAGTTGTTTTTTTTTCTTATTAAATTCTTAATAAAATTTGCTTTCATAATAGTCATAATTTTTTTTTTCTTATAAACTAATCTTTTTTCTGAAAGAACCTGACAAAGTTTATTTTTCACAATAAAATTTTTTGTTTGGATACTTATTTCTCTGACTGTGTATATATATATATATATATATATATATATATATATATATATATATATATATATATATATATATATATATTTTTTTTTTTTAATTCACCTCTTCGTTTATTGTGGCTACTTATTTGTGGTTATAACCCTCTCTCAACTCTATAACTCCGAAACACGAACCTTAGTAAACAAGGCCGCTGCGCTGAGAAACGAGTTGATATATATATATTTTTTATTTTAATTCACCTCCTCAAGGGCGAGAAGGCCACTACAGACAAGGAGGCTACTTATTTGTAGTTATAACCCTCTCTCAACTCTATAACTCCGAAATATATATATATATTTATATATATATATATATTATATATATATATATATATATATAATATATATATATATATATATATATATATATATATATATATATGTATGTATATATATATATATTATATATATATAGTATATATATATATATATATATATATATATATATATATATATATATATATATATATATATATATATATATATATATATATATATATATATATATATATATATATATATATATATATATATTATACATATGCATGGATATATTTTATAGGAGCTTGTGAATCTTGATCCTCTGTCAGATATTAGTAGAAATGCAAAAAATGCACTTGAAAGTTATAAGTAAGTTTTAGTATATTTAAAAGTATACATTTTTTGTTAAAAATTTGTTTGATAAAATATAACACTTTATTGAATACTTTATATTTCTGGTTTTATTTGTATTTATGTTTTTGTTATATTTGTATTTATATTTTTTTGTATTATGTTTTTGTATGTTTAGCTTAATTTTTTTGTGTATCTAATTGTTATATGTATGTGTTATATTTAATTTTTTTAGATTTCCAGTTCAATCCATTATCTTAACTCCTAATGGTTCAGTCATTCATAGTGTAAATGCAAATGATATTTTAAATAGAAGACAATATGGTCTATATCGAAGGTATTTTCTCAAAAATAAATTGTGTTGACATGAACTGACATGTTTCATGTCAAACATTATGGTGCTTAGTTTGGGGCACCTTTAGCCAATTTTAGAGCATTAACATGGTTAGGCATTGACAAAATCGACAACTTTAACTAAGTTTTTTTAATTTTTTTAATATGGAACAATACCTGAACCACTCCTGAATAATACCTGAAAGCACTCAATCAGTTTAAAACAACACCTGAATCAGTTTGGTTTTTGTTGTAATAAACACTGTGAATCTCATCTTTTAGTTGCTTTCATAAGTTATCTAACAAATTCTGGTCTGAAGAATTTCCAGTGTATTAAAGTACATTTATAGATTTATTTGCAAATCACTTCTTAATTTTTTTTTTAATTGTAATATGGGGCTCTATCCTGTTGAAAATTCTATACCATGAAACCAATATCTGGCTTGAGAAACAAGTCAACTTTCTTGCATTTCGATGTACTTGTTCTGGTCCCCTCAACTAGGTGTAGGCAACCTGTGCCATACACAAATATGACTCCTCAGACCATGACTTTCATTGAAAATTTCACAGTTTTCTTCAAGCAGTCAGTTTTCTAATGAGATTTTCAAACTGCCTGGACTCATCTAAAAGACTACAATTTTGAACTCGTCAGAAAAAAAACTTTTTCTTCATCAAACTTACAACTTGTACAAAAACATTCAGTTTTATAGCGATTTTATTATACTTTGCTCCACTGTTTTCACTGTTAGCTTTTCTTCCTTGGACTCCCATTTTACATGTTTGATTCATCACTAATTTAAATAAAAAAATATTTTGTATTAAAACAAGATATGATACAATTACAACAAGATGAGTGCTGCTATTAATGATAAAAGTTTCTTAAGTGTTGTTAATTCGACTCTAGAAGAAAAAGCATTTTTTATACTTGTGTATTCTAGCCATAGGCATTTATCCAAAATTTGTGTGTTATGAATGTCAGAGAAGTTTCTACCTGTTCTGGGCTGAAAGCCTGCTTGAATTATAATTTTTTTTTTTTTTTTGGAAAGAAACTAGAAGTCAGCAGTGAAGATATTATAAAAAAGTGTGGTAAGAAAAATGAATGATCTAGATTTTTATCATTATCAAGTAAAAAAAGTAATATTTATAAATCTTTTCTCATTTAAAATTTTAAAAAATTAGAAAAAACTTTTTTTTAAAAGTTTTTTTTTTCTGATTGACTTCACAATGTTTAGTGGCACAGTTACAAAAGACCTTATTTACATTTAAGATACTTCAAGCTTCATGCTGGATTTAATAAACCAACATTTAGTTCCCTAGTCTGTTTTTGTTTAAATTTCTACATGCAGATGAGGTGTTTTTTCTATTTATTTTATGTTTTATAAAAGTATTACTTCAAATTTATACCTCAATAGTGGTATTGTCAAATGCTTTAGGTAAAATGTGCCAGAATCAAGTTTCTAATGTAGTTTTTAAAAATATATTAAGTTATGCAGTAAAAAAAGCATGTCTTTGGTGTAAAAACTTAGTTTGTGATAAATGTTTGTGATAAATTAAGAAAACTTGGAATCCTTAGCTATTCATATCAAAGATAAATAAACATATCAAAGATAAACAAACTGTAAATTAAAAAACAGGAAATCCAAATTTTGATGATTATAATTTATTCAGAATTCTTTCACCTGGTTAAGATCTAGATACTCTAATCCAAAATTTAGTAACTTCTCCTGAATTACTTATTCTGATAGAAATAATAACCACACTGGGCTGCTTATTAATTGAACTTTGGCCAGAAGAACATATCTTATACTCAGGGGTGTGGAGTCGTAAAAAAAAAGTAACGACTCCGACTCCAGCAGTTGAAATTTTTTGAGTACAACTCCAACTTCGACTCCAAAGCAAAATTTTTGAAAAATTCTTTGAATTCTTTAAAAAATATTGCATGATAAGTTGAAATTTTTTTTTTGACAAATTTATGCAACGTTCTTTGAAGTTTAGTATGAACATAAGGTTAATTGAATGTTTTGTACATACACGTGCAATACCAAGAAATATTACTATCGGAGTCGAAGTCGTAATATTTTTTAGCGATTCCGACTCCGCTAAAATTGTCGCAACTCCGACTTTTTTAGCTTTAGACTTTTTTAAGTATAAGCCCTGCTTATACTTAAAAGTTTAGATGAATTAGAAAGAGTTGTATTATCTGAAGTTCCTGCTTCTTGTTATATAAAAAACTTCTTTAAAAGATTTTTGTTTTAGTTGAATACATTAGGCCGGGTGAATAAAAATGAGCAATTGCTTTTACTCAGTAATTGTTCAGCTTTACGTGAATAAAAACTTAAGCAAAATAGTTAAAGTTTTTATTCATGTAAAGATGACCAATTACTGAGTAAAAGCAATTGCTCATTTTTATTCACTTGGCCTATTCTTATTTTGATAGCACAGAAGAAGCCTTGATAAAATCTGAAAACTTATTTTTATACTATCAAGAAATTGCAGAAGTTCTCAAAAAAAAACTTTTATTTTTGAAAGGGTTGGAAGATACGCATACTCTTGGGTCATGTGCAACTCTTTGTTGGATTTCACAAATGTGGCTTTCCTTAATTTGCTGAACAGTGGCAAGAATGGATTTATTTTTAATTCAAACTTACACTGAATAAACCTAAATGGCAAGAAGAAAATAAATAATGTGGAAGAAGGCTCTTCTACTGTGAATTAATTAAAAGAAATAAATAATCGATAGTTAATTTAGTGTAACGAGGGACAAAATGAGACACTTAAGCGCTAATACATCTAATACGGCCCGTCTAACAACTTTTGAAAAAATAAATTGATATTTTTCAATTCTTCTACGATCCTACTTGAAGCCTAAAAAGTATGAGTTGCAAAACTGCAGTAGTTTGGTCACCAGAGATCATTTATTGACAGCACCTATCCTGTCTCATTTTGCCCCGCATACCGGGGCAAAATGAGACAGATTTTTTTTTAGTAATTTAAATAAATAAAGTTAAAAAAAACAGATCTTTAAGAGGATTAGCAAGTAATACATTTTATAATATATTACAGCTATAATCAAACTGTCACTAGTCACATAAATCACATATTGCTTGGCCAGTATTTTGAAACGAACAACAGTCCGAATGAGCCCAGGTTGTGCATTATGAAAATTGACTCCACTTTTATATATATATATATATATATATATATATATATATATATATATATATATATATATATATATATATATATATATATATATATATATATATATATATATATATATATATATATATATATATATATAGTATATCCTATATCCACTACAAGAACTAATAAAACCATATATGCATATATTAAACTTATGTATTTAAAGCACGCATAACATTCATTGTATTTTGTTTATACTTACTGCAATAACCTATATGTTATAATCTACTCACTATATATTTTATATACTACTTACTTTATTACATTACAATACAATAAGATTATAAAATACAAACATAGAAGTTATAAACATCAGGCAATTATTTGCTTCAATTTGATTAAATATTTATTATACTTAAATATAAGTTAACAAAATATAAAACGTAATTCTATATTGGATAGCAACTAAACATTTCAATTAACAAAATAAAAAGTAAGTAAATACAGTATAATAAATTTAAATCTACAGCATGTACATATTAATATTTGCTTTGGTTGTTGTTTTAATGTAAAAAATTAAATAAACATAATATCAGATATCGGCAAAAAAAAAATACAGAATGTCTCGTTTTGCCCCGCATCATGTTGGCATTGAATAGCCTAATTTCCAGACTATTTTATTGAAGAAATAAAATACCAAAGAATGGAAATGAAAGAAAAAGGCCTAAAGATTCTAATTAAAAAAAAACTTTAAATATAAAAAGCTTTTCCACTCAGTGAGATCAAAAAAGGCTAGGAAAAAATATAATAACAACTCTTAAAAGTTCGTAATTTTCGCGAAGCCGAGGGATGAAATGATTCCCCTTTTACTCAACTTTTTTATTTCAAAGTGACTCAATATATTTTTCATGACACAAAATAGTTTTTTAACACAACTACACTTTTAAAAATCTTGCAAATAATAATTTGTAGGGCTAGCATTATGTTAAACGCGAACTGTCTCGTATTGCCCTGCTGTCTCATTTTGCCCCGCGTTACCCTACATACCATATTATATACATTAAGTTGTAAACATTTAAAGTGTTTTTGTTGTTTTGAATTGAGCTAAATTTGTCTAAAATTTAATTTTTATAACAAGTTTTGTAAAAAACATATTTTTTTTAAATAGTTAAAACTTTTAACAAGTATAATAGGCTTGAACCCTTCGATTTTGTTCTTTGTCTTATTTATAGCTTTTAGCACTTTGTTTAAATATGAAAATCTCTCATTTTTTAATACTAATTTAAAAAAGGTTTTATTTAATGGATACATTAGACCTGGTAGCATTATCTTCTGTGACAGTTGTCATGTTGTTATGATTGTTTTGAGTATTTTAATTTTGAAATTAAAATTAAGTTGCAATTGCTAATTGCTAATTATTTTATAGATGAGTTTAATGCAAAAATTAGATGGATAATAGGTTATGAAAAATGTTTTTTAACAGTTTGATTATCATGTAAAAGAGATGTTATTCTTTGTAAAAAAGACGTTATTATTTGTTGAAGAGACAAATAATAACGTCTATTCTTTGCAGATGGAAAAAGTTGTGAATAACAAAGAGACCAAGATAAATGAGTTTCAGACGATTTGTTTTATAGTCAGTAAAAAAATATTCTGAAAAAAGAAAAAATGGAATTATAGACCCTTGAAAAAAGCATAAAATCCGTGTGACCAAGCTAAAAAAATTTATTTTTTAATAACTAAATCAACAGGTATTTATCTAAAGAAAAAAAAGTTTAACAACAGATATATTGCTAAACTTTAAAGTTCTTGTCAAGTACTTGTCTAGTTACAATAAAACATTTCGATCTTCGAAGTTAA